TTTTTTAAATTAAATGTTTTTAAGTTTCACTGCTTACATACTGTCATAACATTTGAAGAACTTTTTAAAAAGCCACATTCCCATGAGCCCAGCACTTAGGAGGTAGAGGCAGGAGGATCAGGAGTTTAAGGTCATTCTTGGATACTTGGCTATAGAAATGAGTTGAATGGCAACTTAGGCTACACAAAACCTTATCACAAAAGACAAAAAAAGGGTGGGGTGGGGAACATAAACCTAGGATCACAAAACATAGCTAGTTCTTTTTTTCTATATTCCTATTTAGTCATCATTCATATGCATGCCCAATTTTTATATAGGTGTGATTATAGCAGAAATATATAATTAGTTTTTAAATTAGAAAAATTACATATGTAAAAATTTAAACACTCAGAGGCATATAGTGAAAACCTGCATTCCTTCCTCCTATTTCCTTTGCCAGAGGTAATCTGTCAACCACCTGATAGATAGCTTTTTTTTTTTGCAGAAGGGGGGGTGTACTTGTTTTTTCACAGGTTTTCACTGTGCAGCTGGCCTGCAACTCATAGAGATCCACCTGCCTCTGCTTCCTGAGTGCTGGGATTAAAGGCGAGCACCACCTCCCCTGGTGCAACCACGTAGTTTTATAGTTGGCTTATTTAAGTTTATTTTTTGGCCCACCATTGATCGGTGCTTTCACACACTATCTTCATAATTTTTGGTTGATGTTGCATTCACTCTGTGCCAAGAGTTGCCTTTTCCTTCGATTAACTTTCTTTGTAATGAAACCAGGTGAGCTTTGGTGAGAGCTGCCCTGACATAGATGTGCAAATTAGATATCGTCAGTGTCTTCCAGACATGAAGTGCTAGGGCATTTCCAGAAGCCCTGGGCACAGCAGAGATAACAGGCACACTTCACCAGAGAGAGGGAAGCAGCAGTTAAGAATCACTTGGCTTAATTCCCTGTGTAGTGAATTGCTTCCTCACCCAGCCTTCCCGTCTCCATCTCTGTATCACTTTGCTCAAACCTTGTTTTGATACTCCTGTGGTTTTATACTGTTGACACTGACATGGACAGTGTCTGAGTAGAAGGTCTTTCTCCATGTCAAGTATCAGATGTGCACTAGGTGCTTCGATACTTGCATTTTGCTCAAGTCTTGTTTTGATACTCCTGTGGTTTTATACTGTTGACACTGACATTGCATACACAGACATGGACAGTGTCTGAGTAGAAGGCCTTTCTCCATGTCAAGTATCAGATGTGCACTAGGTGCTTCGATACTTGCAGAGTAAAAATCAATTTTGAGGGGAAGCATGGTGGTGTACACCTTTAATCTCAGCTCTTGAGAAGTAGAAGCAGGTGGAACTTTGTGAGTTCAAGGGCAGCTAGAGCTATATACGTAGTGAGTTCTGCAGACCAGCTACCCTGTCTTTAAAAGTAAAAAGTTCTTTGGAAACAAACCCAGCCCTGGTTGTGGAAACCTCAGTGCTTTATGTATTGATTCATTTTTACTTCAGTGACTTGTAACCATGGAAACGGTGGGTGTCAGCACTCCTGTGAAGACACAGCTGAAGGCCCTGAGTGTAGCTGCCATCCACGGTATAGGTTGCACGCTGATGGGAGGAGCTGCCTTGGTGAGTGGTTTTCCCTCATTCCAGTGGAGGGCTTGCTTCAGTCTGCCAACCCCTACCCCAAACCCTCTTCTTAACCTTAACCCTTAATCGTGTTTAGCCCAGATGCAAGGTATGGCCAATGTCCAAGGGCCCTTCACATGCTGTAGTGGGAGTGGCCTACTTTTGGGTGGGAGTCCCTCTCTCTTTGCAAATCTCTTCCTCTTCCTATGGACTGGGCTGTTCTGGAAGCTGGTAGTCTAGAGATCTGGATGATATATTCCAAAGGAAGAGGGTAACAGAGGCTAGAGCAGTCTGTGTGTGATGTCCCAGAAATCTTTACAGTCAAAGTCTGCCCTGCCTTTCATGGTGTGACCTTGTTGGCTTTTTTGGAATTCTTGTCCTGAACTAAGAATTCTGCAGTCTCCCTGAAGCTTGTATTTCCTGGAGTCTCTTAGCCAGTGCATTATATTCCAAAACCTTTCCCATACTTAGTGTTTGCAAGGGTCTTCAGTCACTTAATGTGCTGTTTCCCACAGAGCCATATAATGGCTGTTCTTATGGAGTGGACAATCACATATCTGCCATTGGTCACACATTTCATGTCTGAGATTGCAGCAGAAATGGCTGCTCAGGGAATGAGTTATTTGATCATTCAGCCTGATGGGTGTGGTTTTGCTTCTCTTGTAGAGCAAGAGAGCACCGTCCTGGAGGGGACAGAGAGCAATGCCACCTCAGTGGCAGATGGAGATAAACGGGTGAAACGGCGGTTGCTCATGGGTATGTAACCCTCTCTCCTCCTTGGCCCTGTCACTACCCCCTTCCCTCTCTAGCTCATTGCATCAGGCCTGAGCTTAGAGTCCACGTGTCCCTAGGCCAAATGGATTGGGATGAGCAACTTCTCTGAAGCCAGGATATGTTTTCTTTTTAATTTACCCAAAACTGTGTCTTAGTCATAGTCTAAGACCCCTGTGCCAAGTCATTAGAATAATCAGGTTAATGTCCTAGCACTGTCCAACTAGCTGTGAGATGAGACAAACCTCTCTAGGACTCTCCCTGTCTGTAGGTCTCTCTTTAAAATAGATGTAAGGGCTAGGAGCTCAGTCAGAGTGCCTTTCCAGCATGAACAAAGGCCTGGGTTTGACTCTCACCACTGCATAAACCAAGCTTGATGTCACATGACTATAGTCCTAGTACTCAGGAGGTGGGGACAGGAGGATTAGATGTTCAAGGTCACCTTGCTTGCATAGTAAATTGGAGGCCAGCCTAATATATGTGAAGCCTTGTCTCAAAATAAATAAATGAAATGTAGGTATAGTGGCACATGCCTTTAATTCCAACACTTAGGAGGCAGAGGCAGGCACAGTGTTGTGAGATGGATGCCATCCTGGTCTACATAGTGAGTTCCAGGCTAGTCAGGGCTACATAGTGAGACCCTACCTGAACAATAAATAAATAAAAATAGATAGGATGTAATAAACTCTTTCAGGGTTATCAGCAAATTCAATTAAGATAATAATATGAGGTCTTCAAGATGGCTCAATGGGTATGGATTCTTACTGTCAAGCAAGCTTGATGACCTGAGTTTGATCCTGGGACCTACATGGTAGAAGGGGAGAATGGATTCCCTCAAGTCGTCCTCTGGTAACCACACATATTTTGTAGCTCATGCACACCTATACACATACATAAATAAATAAGCACAATAGATTTTTTAAAAAGATAATAATATGCAGAAGTGCTTAGAGTCCAGTCTGGGATGCAGTGGGTGGCCGTGGAATGCCAACTCTCTTCTAGTTCTGGGCAGCCTCCAGCTTAGCATGGCAGTTTATCTGTCTTGGTGCCCACCAGCCTTCCATCTCTGACTCAGCCAATGTTAGTGCTAGAGGAGCTGAATGGGGAAGACTGGCACTTGGCTGGGAGACATGAGACAGTTGGCCCACAGCCCTGACAGTCAAGCTAGCGATGAGAGAGAAGAGGCAGTAGCTGTGGGGATGGGGCCAGGCAGATCTTTTGACACGTTATTATGGAGAGTTTGGTTTGGCTAAAATAAAACTGTTATCTACTAGCTCCTGGGGTTACTAGTCAGGTAAGATACCTACCAATCATTGTTATCAAGCAGGGGACCTTTATGATCTCTCTCTGATTAATTTTATTTTCTTTCTTCCGTGTGTGTGTGTGTGTGTGTGTGTGTGTGTGTGTGTGTGTGTGTGTGCACATGCACACTGCTCACCAATGCACACAAGTGTGGAGGCCAGCGGTATGTGGTAGATGTTTTCCTCTAGCACTGTCCACTTTATATTTTGAGACTGGGTTCTGTCACTGAACCAGGAGCTCACCAAGATTTGAATAGACTGGCTGACCACTGAATGCCTCTGTTTCCTTTTGTCTCCCAAATAAAGGGTGGTAGGGATTCAAATACACACGCACGCACGCACGCACACGCATGCACACATCCACACATCCTCCCATGCTCTTAATATAGCTTATCAAAATTTAAGTCAACATGAAGTATTTACATTACTGTGAGCACCTACACACAATTCGCCCAAGTCCCGTCATGCATTGCCATTTAATGCCTTCTTTGGTGCAAATAGGAGAGCTATTTTCTAAGAACCACCCACTGGTCCGTTTTCCTTGGGGAGTGTTTGGCAGGGCTTTCTAAAGCCCTTCCCAGTGTGTTCAGAGCAGCTTCTCAGCTCCACTCTCTTCTCTGACCAGCAGACTCATCTGAGGCTTCCCGCTGCTGCTGAGGGCCTGACTCCTGGCCTGCAGCTCGGTCAGCTGCGCCTTTCCCAGGGCCTAGGAACCCCCTTTGCTGCTCTCCTGTTTTGGTACTTTGTACTGTGGACAAGATAAAGGTTTCTAAAAACCTTGTGTCCCTCAAAATGCTTTTTTATGCATTCTCCCTTCACCCTTCATCAAGAATTTGGCTCATTATAGAATTCAGAGTTGCAAAGAATATTCTATCATCAGAATTTTGACACCAGGGATCCATTGTTTTCATCTCACTTACCCCTGCCTTCCCTCTCTCCCTCCCTCCTTCCCTCTCTCCCTCTCTGTCTCCCTCCCTCCCTCCCTCCTTCCCTCCTTCCCATGTAGCCCAGGCTGGGCCTACCTCCTTCCCTCTCTCCCTCTCTGTCTCCCTCCCTCCCTCCTTCCCTCCTTCCCATGTAGCCCAGGCTGGGCCTTCTGCTTCCACACCCAGGTGCTGGGATCACATGTGTCACTGCAGGTGCTGGGATTACATGTACCTCCATGCTTAGTTTATGCATCTCTGGGGATGGAGCCCAGGGCATTGTGTATGCTAGAACGAACGCTCACCCAACTAAGCTATATCCCCAGCTCTCTCTCTCATTCTTACTCTTGATCCAGTGTGTGAAGCCTGTAAAAGCTTCACTCTGGACATTTTCAGGTTTTTTCTTTGTCCTTGATGATCTGAGATTTCACAGTGATGTCTCTTTGGTGTGCTCTGTGCTCACTAGGCATTTGAACTGCCTCTGTGCAGTTTCACAGGCCCCTTTGTTAGTTCCCTATTGATAGCAGTAACTCCAGAGATCCTTGGATTTTCTTCTCTCTTCTCTATATTTTGTTTCACTTTCTAGATTTCTCATTTCTCCACCTTCTAATCTTCCTGCAAGATTCTTTTTTAAACTTTCCACTTTCCTGCTTTTTTTTCTTCTTCCCAGAATTTACTTTGGTCTTTGTTACAGGGACTTGCTCATATTTCATGGATGCTTCTTTTGCCCCCTAAAGAAATTATATTTTACTCTCTCCTTTTTTCCATGTTATCTTTCTAAAAATGGTTATTGTTTTTAATTGTGTGTATGTGCAGGTGAGTGCAGATGCCTGTAGAGGCATCTGCTGGCATCAGATCCCCCTGGGGTTGGAGTTATGGGCAGATGTGAGCTACTCAATGTGGGTACTGAGAATTGAACTCAGGTCCTCTGTAGGAGTTTGATGCACTTTTAACTACTAAGCCATCTTTCCAGTCCCTTCCTCTGTTATCTTTGTTTTCTTTAAGTTTCTTTTTGTTGTTCAATTTGGTATATATCTAAAATACTAAATATTCTAAATATTTGGTAATCCTTGACTGATTTTTCATATTCGATAGTGAAAAACTGAAAAGCCAATTGATGAGCTTTGTAGTTGTGTGACTTCACATCTGAAGTCTTTCCATTTGGATGACTCTTACTTGGGGATAGAAACTTAGCTCCCAGCATCCCTGGCTTAGTCTGGGGTGTGGGTCTAACAATCCATCCCGGCACAAACGTTTACCTCATCCACTGTGCATCTCTTTTCCTCCTCTGTGATCCCTGATGCATTGGTCTGATTTCCCCGAGTGTAAACTGCACCGTAGCTGGGGCCTGCTAGTCATATGGCTATCTGGAAATAAGAGCTTGGTGGTGAGAGTGAGGTATTGGTGTGGGGGGCATGGGGATAAATATGGGGGTACTGTTTCTCAGGCAACCTTTTTTTAAGCTCCATCCTCACCTCTGCTTCTAGAAGAGCTTGCAGACTCTAACCCCTGGCCTTCCTGGATTCTGGGGTTCATATGGCTTTGCCCCTGTCAGCAGTCCCTCTGCAGACCAGAGGGATTAACATTCTACTCTACTGATGTGCCACTTCCTAACAGCTGACACCTTTTTTGTCTTCTCTTCCATTTTCTTTGTCCCTGAGGAACTACACATTTAGACACTTACCTCAGTGTAGTGCAGTTTTGAGAGGGAGCACAGATAAAAGTATGTAACTATTGTGTTTAATTAGTACTAAGCTTGTTCCCACAACCTCCCAGGCTTTCAAATGAGGCAGCTATGGAAGTTTCTGGACTTCTGGGTGCTAACATTGAGTGAATGTTGACTAGTACTTGCCTATCACTGGGAATGACCATGCAGAATGAAGAAATTTTGGAGTTCATTTTCAGTCGTTATGACAGGCCTTTTCAGAGAGAGACTTGTGAGTCAGTAGGCATTTGCAAGGACAAGTCATTAGTGTGTAGCAAGGGAATGGTCCGGATGGGGGTTAGGTCCTCCACTCGAATGAAAGAGAAACTTCTGGAGTAAGAAAGGAACATCCTCTTTTGCCCTGTTCTATACTCAATCTAGCCTGCCAGGTCAAGTGGTCACACTTAGCAGGTTGCTGGCTGTGGGTCACCAGGAACCTCTAGTGGGTGGAGAAGGTTTCCACAGGTTGGGAGGTATCTTTATCCCTCTGGTCACCAGTTTTTGGAGCAGCCTTTGTTGAAGGGGAGGAGATGCAGCAGCAGCAGCTCTCTCTCTGTCTCACCTGCAGGTGGCAGAGGCTCGGGGTGTGACCATGAGCACTCCTCTGTGCTTTCAGGGTTGTCAAACAGTAATATCTGTATCAGCACTCCTTTAGGAAGCTAACTACCCTTCCAACCTCTCGTCAGAAACATGTGCTGTCAACAATGGAGGCTGTGATCGAACCTGTAAGGACACATCAACAGGGGTTCACTGCAGTTGTCCCATTGGATTCACTCTCCAGTTGGATGGGAAGACATGCAAAGGTAGCTTTCACTTGTCCTGGAGCTGGCGGGCTGTGGGGCTCGGGGACTGGGTGGAGGGAGCCCTGGACATGTCCTGGAGCTGGCGGGCTGTGGGGCTCGGGGACTGGGTGGAGGGAGCCCTGAACTGCTGATGTGTGGGAGAGAGGCAGGTCTGCCCTTCTACACTATTTGATTGCTTCTAGATTTGCTTATGATTCATATTGATGGGAGCTTTTCTTCCCTGGGCTAGTGGACGGTTATAATTGAGTAAGCTTAATTAGAAGTGGCTTAATTACACCAACTGTTGAGAAGGTCAGCCTCTGCAAGCATCAGATAATCCACTTTAGACAAGTGGCCTTATTAGCAAAAGTCAGTTCATGGAACATTCATTGGCAGCAGATAATATCAACCTATCATAAATAATAGCCCCGAGATTACTGTGTAAATAACGGCTGAGATTATTATCCAGAGCATTTAACGAATAACTGTACCACTAACTTTTACTAATGAAGACAGACCCTAATGACTTGCTGGTCTTTCATGGGCAAGAGTACAAAGGGTTTGTTAGTGCTTTAGCATGATAAAAAGAGATAAACCGGTTATGAGATGAAACTGGGGAAAGATAAGATTAAGTATCAGGAATCATTAAAAAACACTGAGACCATCTGATCATTGTGTAATTTGCTTAAACAAAAGCCCTTATCCCTTATGGCTTTAGTCATTAAGCTAGAATAGAAAGTGTACTAACAGGGGTTGTCTCATCTTTGGAGGGCATTAGAGGAGGAGAATAAAATAAAACATGATATCACCACTCCTTTCCAGGGTTTCTTTCCTTAATGCTTTCAATGGCATGGAAAGTCAGAATTGTTAACTGGAAGAGGGACTTTTCTGTCAGCCAGACAGGAAAATGCTTGTAAGATTGAAACCATCAGTGAGCATTCTTAAGTGCTCTTGTGGGTCTGTTTTTCTTTCTGAGGATAAGCGACACACAGAACAGCAGTTTGGGGACTGGGGGAAAGCCAGGCAGCTGTTGCCCCGTGGTTCCCTAGTGCTTGTCTGTTACAGATATCGATGAGTGCCAGACCCGGAATGGAGGTTGCAATCATTTCTGTAAAAACACCGTGGGCAGTTTTGACTGCAGCTGCAAAAAAGGATTTAAATTATTAACAGATGAGAAGTCTTGCCAAGGTATGTGCTGAAACAGTAGCTGAGGTGGACAGAGAAGGTGTTTTGAGCCCTGGTTTGGTAGAGACTGGCTCACCCTGCTCCTGATGGAGTCATGGACTCCAATCTCCGACCTGGATGTCACTTGTTTCATCTTAGGTTGAATGGAAACATGGTGTAGCTCACACATGTTTTGGAAACTAAGCTGTTAACATCAGAGAATATCTTAAAAAGCTATCAGGTTTGATTACAGCAGGGCGTGCCAAAAGAAAGGGAACAGAACACATGATGCACAAGCAGGGTTATAGCTGGATCTTGAGATTAGAGATCATTTTTCTTTTCTAAAATTTATTTTACTGCAATTGAATATTTGACAAAAGTTGATGGCAAAAATCTGTAGATTTGGATAATACTTCTTCCTAGCAAAAAATTGAGGTCAACTCATCTAGAACCAGCTGGTGTCTTCTAGCCCTTAGAGTAGATGACTACTCTTTGAGGTGGGTGGAAGAGGGGAGTGGAAGAAATACCTCTTGGCTCATAGGAAGATTATAGACTGGACCCCTTTCCTTTTCTTTCTTTTACTTAGACTTTTTTTTTAAGTATGTGTATGTGTGTGTCTGTGTGCAGGCGGGTGCATGTAAGGGGTCCACAGAGGCCAGAGGCATCCATTCCCCTGGAGCTGGAGTTACAAGTAGTTATGAGCCACCTGGGGTGTGTGCTGGGAGCTAAACTCCACTCAGTCTTATGTAAGAGTGGTACATGCTCTTAACACTAATCCATCTCTTTAGCCCCTATAGCCTCCTGTTCAACTGTATCCTTCCTATTTAAAGCGAGCAGCAGCTGTCAATGTTTACAACTGTTTTAGGGGGAACATCATTTCTGTTTTTAGATAAACAGCTTTCATGCCTTATCGGTATATAAGAAGAAAATCTCAGGAAAGATACACTGTTGTTTATCTTGTTCCATTTTTGGGAATAAGGACTGCCTTACCTATTTTGTTAGGCATCTCAGCATCAGGGGCTCATTGAAGGGTGGAGGTATAACTCAGTTGGTAGATGCTTGCCTAGCATGCACAAAGACATGGGCTGGACCTCCAGCACTGAATAAACCACACATGGTGTCGCACACCTGTAATCACCTGTCATGGAGGTAGAAGCAGGAGGACCAAAGCTTCCAAGCTGTCCTTGGCTACATATCAAGTCTGAGACCACCTGGCTAGAGACACAGGCAAAACAAACAAACAGACAGAACCACAAAAACCTCAAAACAAAACAAAACCCAACACTGTATAAAAAATCAGAATATAAAATGTAACACTGGGAGCCAGGGAGATGGCTCAGTGGGCTAAGTGCTTGCCAGTAAGCCGGAGGACCCGTGTTTGGGTCTCCAACACCCACCTACAAAGCTGAGTGTGGCCGTGTGTGCCTATCAATCCAGTCCTGGGAGGCAGCAACAGGAAATCCCTAGAGTTCAATGGCCAGCCATTTTGGCAGAATCTGCAAGTTTCAGGTTCAGTGAGAAACCCTGTTTCAAAAAATGAGGTGGGAAGCAATTGAGGAGGCCTCTGATGCTGACCTCCGACCTTCATACACATGTGGACATACACATGAACACATACATACACACAAGACAAAAGATGTAACAACTTTAAAAAAAGACACTTTACAGAGTAAATTAGTCTTTCTTCCCTTTGTTCTTAATACATAATTTGACAGGCAGTTCAAATACATTCTCCTTTAAATTCAGTGAGCTAATTCTAGATAATTATTTTGTGGTTTGCTTTGGTATGACTTGGAAAGCAAATTTGCTGTTCCATACAATGTTTCATAATGTATAGGGCAAGAAATATGTTTAAGCTGTGTAAACACATTAAAAAGGAATTAGGAAAGTGATCTCATTATTTTTGGCAAAGCAGATGTCCACAGTGAGCAGCCAAAGTCAGCTACTGAACGAGGGCACTTTGTCAGCAACTGGCTGAAGTTAATAACAGATCTCATGGAATGGCATCAAGAACAAGGGGAGAAACTGACTTTTTCTTTTTTTCCATCCATTGCTCTTGGTAGAACAAATATTTGTACAGAGTGAATTTGCTGAAGAAACTGTCAGGATTTCTGGGAAAAAGCAGGGAAGAAGAGCTTTGCAAGAGTTTGCCCTCCTATCTTTTGTTTTCATTTTTCTTGATACATGAACCCCTGCCCTCTGTTTATTGTTATTTTGAATTGAATCAGGTCTTCATTGGCTTGGAAAATGCTTGAACTAGGCTGTCCTTGAACTCATAGTGATCCTACAGCCTTGGCTTCCCAAGTGCCTCCCAAGAACGGGCACACACTACCACATCTGGCTAACATGTTTGCCTTTTATTGCTGTAGCTTTTCATGGCATGTTTGGTGTAGAAAAAGTGGTCCAGTCCAATGGTGTGATTGTTATCCACTAAGTGTAACCCAGGTTTATCTATTTGGAGGCACCAATTAAAACCATCCCAAGAGTTCTGGGAGTGAGACAAAACAAAACAAACAAACAAACAAACAAAAACATGATCAGGTTTACAGATGCAGCTTCCAGAGGCTGGTTTGCATGGCCCTGCTTGCTGCTAGGAATATATCCCCACTGAGCCAGGGACATAGAGGGCACTGGAAAGAGTAATATGTAAATCCTCTACCATAGAGGTGTTGTAGAATATTATTATAAGATGTGTTACATTTGTTTATGGTGAGGAACATTTTTTGCATGATGCAAAGATGTGTTGCATTCTTTTATGCTGCATTTGTTTAACTCTGTGAAGCCGTGTTACTTAGGCTGTCTAAACCAGCTGATTGACTTAATAAAGAGCTGAGTGGACAATAGCTAGGCAGGAGAGAGGGATAGGCAGGGCTGCAAGGCAGAGAGAATAAACAGGAGAAATCTAGGTTCAAAAAGAGAGGGAGGAGTGAGAAAAGGAGAAGAGGATGCCAGGACCCAGCAACCCAGCCAGCTACAGAGTAAGAAGGAAAGGAAGGTATATAGAATAGAGAAAGGTAAAAACCCAGAGGCAAAAGGTAGATGGGATAATCTTTTAAAAGCTGACCGAAAACAAGCCAAGCTAAGGCTGGGCACTTATAAGTAACAAAAAGTCTCTGTGTGTATTTATTTATTTGCCCCCAAAGAGCAAAGATCCAAAAGATTAAAAAGAAACCAACAAACATAGAGGAGTAACACAACCAAGAGATTTTCCAAGTAGATCCAATGTATGCCTTATCCAACCCAGTTTCAGTATCTTTCACAGAATATCACTGAGGGTTTTGGTGTTAATGTATTTAATTTTAATGCAGAGGGTGTTAAGACACAGGGTCAATTGGCCTGTTGGGGCCAGAGGAGTAATTCTACAAAGATGAGAGAGATAGAAACCAGAATTGTCTCCAACCAAAGCATTTACAAACAAAACCAGAAAAATGATAATGAATAGCTAGCATTTTTGTTTTAAACTAGGTTATGAACCTACTTTTAGGTAACTCATTTACCTTCATTTATGTGTTAATTTGCTTTCTATTGCTGAGACAAAACACTGTGATCAAAAGCAACTTGGGAACAAAAGGGTTTATTTGGCTTACATGTCATACCACAGCCTATCACTGAAGGAAGTCAGGACAGGAACTCAAGCAAGGCAGGAACCTGAAGGCAGGAACTGAAGCAAAGGCCATGGAGAGACACTACTTACTGGCTTGCGCTCTATGACTTGCTCAGCTTTCTTTCTTTCTTTTTTATTTTTTAAACTTTATTTATGTGCATTGGTGTTTTGTTTGCCTGTATGTGAGAATGCCAGATTCCCCTGGAACTGGAATTACAGTTGTGAGTTGCCATGTAAGTGCTAGGAGTTGAGCCAGGGTCCTCTGGAAGAGTAGCTAGTGCTCTTAGACAGAGTTATCTTTCCAGGCCCTAAGCTAGCTTTCTTATGCTACTCCAGATCACCTGCCCAGGGATGGCACTAACCATAGTGGGATGGACCCTCCTATGTTAGTTATTAATCAAGGAAATACTCCACAGACTATTAGCCAGTCTTTTTCTTTCTCTCTCTCTCTTTTTTTTTTTTTTTTTGGTTTTTTGAGACAGGGTTTCTCTGTGTAGCTTTGGAGCCTATCCTGGCACTCGCTCTGGAGACCAGCTGGCCTCAAACTCACAGAGATCCACCTGCCTTTGCCTCCCGAGTGCTGGGATTAAAGGTATGCACCACCAACGCCTGGCCTATAGGCAGTCTTATAAAGGCATTTTCTCAATTGAGAGTCCTTCTTCTCAGGTGACCCCAACATGTGTCAAGTTGACAAAAAACGAAAAAACAAAACAACACCAAACACACACAATTTATGTAACTTAAATTTCTCAGTCCAACAAGTAAGTGTGAGTGAGAGAGATCTTCAAAGCAAGTATAGTTTGCAATAGAATTTACAACTGAGGGGCTGGAGAGATGATTCTGGGGTTAAGAGCACTGGCTGCTCTTCTAGAGAACCCAGTTCAGTTCCCAGCACCCACATGGCAGCTCACAACTGTCTATAGCTCCAGTTCTAGGGTACCTGAGACCCTCACACAGATATACATACAGGTAAAACACCAATGCACATAAAAATAAATCTTTTCAAAAAAGAATTTATAACCAAGGGGCCCGGGAATGACTATAGTTAGTATGGGCTCCTCAACATATTCTTTGATACAAATGAGCAAAGTGATAAGTTGATCCGTTTTCCTTATCTGTGTGATTTGGAAGTCAGTCAGCAACCTGTGATTGCTACAAATACCTCTACTCACTCAGCAGAGTTGGTATCAGCTCCCTTCTCTCTTTGATAATTACAGATGTGGATGAATGCTCTTTGGAAAGGACCTGTGACCACAGCTGCATCAACCATCCTGGCACATTTGTTTGTGCCTGCAACAGAGGATACACACTCTATGGCTTCACACACTGTGGAGGTGAGTGGGCTGCCCCTCTGTGGGGAGCCTGAGCCTGGGAGCAAGGCCACCATTAAGGCTTATCTTCCTATACTGGGGCAAAGAGTGCATTCCTGGGCAGTGGCAACAAGAAAAGAACCTGTTGAAAAGGAATAAGCTAATATTTACCCCATTAGCACATCGGGTATGGAAGGGGGCACAGAGGAACTGAGCTCTGTCAGCCGTGGGAGTCTTCAGTGAAGTCACTTGTGCTCATATTTGGAGAATGGGAATCTTTCAGGAGAAAGATCTCCTTTCCAGAAGAAGATAATGTTGCTGTCTTCAGAGAGGCTTTTCAGGGGACCCAGCAAACTCGTAGTTCTGCTCTGCCTGAGCACCGGCTGCAAAGTCTTGGTTTAAGCCCTACTGTTAGGGCTTGGATCTGGAAGGTGACATTGACTATCTCTTCATTCTGTGTCCATTTAACAGTATATGCTCATGTCTTATACCCTTGTGGTCAAGTAGACTATGCTATATATAAGTCAGATTTTGTGCTAACTGATTCTCACTACTTTCCCAGCAATCAGCAATCATTGAGAATAGATCTAGACCTCAGAACAACTTGTAAGGTCACTGTGGTGATTCTAAGTATCTGTGGGATTGGGGACCATGGGCTGGAATACTTCCTGCCAATCCTCATGACCTGTGTTTAAGAAGAACAGATAATGGTGCTTTAGATGATAGCGTCTCCCTTCTCTCTTTCCACACATTCTTGGCACTCTAAAAGCATACCCACCACTTTATCTCACCTATCATGAGACTCTAGTGAGATACCCCTTGAACAGATGTCAACCTGGTTGGGAGCTACCTTCCAGCTTGGATTCAGTCCCAAGTTATTGGGGATGGGTAGGTGCACACAACTTTTCTTCTCTCTCAACTGTGGAAATAGGCAAGCAGGGAGTCTTAATTTTGTCTGTCTCCCTTGTTGTGTAGCTCAGAGGATTGTGTAGTTTCAAATTTAAAGCCCATGCAGGGTCCAAGTCTGGACATCTGAAAGTGGTGTGTTCCCTTCTGAGTGTTCCCGTCAATGGCTAAAAGCTCTTAACTGAGATTCATGCCAGTGGGGAGTGTAGAGTACAGTCAGCAGGTGCCAAGTACATGTCCCTGATAATGACTGTCTGTCAACCGTGTGATTCATCTATGGCTTCTTCCTCAAGGGAGAGGTAGTCACCCCTTATGTACTGTTGTGACAGGAGACAGTTTTTGTTCCACAGATACCAATGAGTGCAGTGTCAATAATGGAGGCTGCCAGCAAGTTTGTATCAACATAGTGGGTGGCTATGAGTGCCAGTGTCATCCAGGGTACAAGCTCCACTGGAATAAAAAAGACTGTGTGGGTAAGAGGCTCCATCCTTCCGTAGTACACATGTGGCTACAGTCTCACTCTGAGTCCAGAGGTTTGAGGCTCTGTATGCTCCCATATCCCTCGGGGCCCAAAGTCCACCTTCCCATGGAGTCTTCCTTCTTGAAGCAGCAGCAGCTGGTCTTTAACAAGTCCAAAAAACAGGAGATACTTTGCAGGCTCCTTGACATTTAGTGTTGTGCTTCTGCATGGATTGGTGCTTCCTTCTGTTTCATGGTTGCTTCTTTGCATGAACAAACAACAGACAAGTGCCTCCTCAACCTCAGTGGGAGGAGGGACTTGAGTCAGCTAGGCAAGGCTGTGGAGGGAGGTCAGCACTGCTGCCTTTTCTCAAGGCTGGGCCGTTGGTGCACTTATCACACAAGTGTGACTCTCATCACACTTGCATACATGCTTCTGTTACCTTAAGTGTCTGTGTTTTGTCCTGTCTAGAAGTGAAGGGCTTCCTGCCCACTAGCATGACACCCAGTGTGTCCCTGCACTGTGGTAAGAGTGGTGGAGGAGACAGGTGCTTCCTAAGATGTCACTCTGGCATTCACCTCTCTTCAGGTGAGTGGCATAAATCCCCGGGAAGGTTCTCATGGCAGGGCCTCTGGGTGTCAGATGTGCAAAAAGGGCTTTCTGGTTCTGCACCAGATGCTTCTTGGCCACCAGAGGCCCTTGCTTTGAGAGCCCATATCCTAGGTATTTTTCTAGTGGCATACGTGGAGTTGGGTGGGGGTTGACTTCAGCTGCTACCAGGATAGCCTGTCATCTTGACAATTCCACATTCTATCTGTCAGGACTGCAAGAGGCCTACTCTGTCACCTGCGGCTCTTCTTCTTCTCTCAGAAGCAGACAGCAAAAATCAAATGACTCTGATTTTGGGGGTAATTACCAAACTGTGTTCTTGCAGGGGCTCAGTGCATTCAATGGGCTTCTTTCATGGGGTGCTGCTAATGGGGGTGGCTTTGTTTGCTTTTTTCTTTTCTGGGTGCTTTGAGCACATTACAAGGTGTTCTAGCCCACAGATGTGGTGTTTGATTCTAATTTACCTGTGGAAACCGTACTTACTGAGTGTCTCCTGTGTGGTTGGAGGTCCTGTTCCGCCTGGGTGGGTCACCGTATTGACAAGAGGTCCACAGAGCTCTGAAAGCGCTTCATGGACCCCACATTCTCTGTATCCCCAGAGCACTTTAAAGGCCCAATAGAGATCATACCTGGGACATATGGTGGAGGTGGCATGGACAGAACAGGGGAAGTGGGACTCTGTCTCAAGAAAGAGACCTGAACCTATTCTCGTTTGTCACAGAACTAAGAATAAAAGTCCAATGTTTTCTGGAGTCCTCAACTTCCCAGATAAGGACACGTTTGCCAGTTTGTTACAAAACTGTCCAAGTTATATCTTGATGTTTATATCATAAAGATGTTCAAAGTTTAAAATCCCAAGCAAGATGGTAGTTCAGAAGTTAAAATACTCCATCTACTATATACTATATTCCATCGAATAGGCTATTTAATTCACTTGAAACTCTATGCATTAAATATTGGAGGCAGGTCTCACTTTGTAACACAGGTTAGCCTAGAATGTATTATGTAGTTCAGGATGACCTTGAGTTCATGACAGTCCTGCTTCAGCTGCCTAAGTGTTGGGATTATAGGATTATATACACACTTGACTTATTCAAAGTGACTCAGATAAGAAATAGAGGAGTCAGGATTTAAACTCAAGTAGTTTGAATTCAGAGTCTTTTTTTTTTTTTTGGTTTTTTGAGACAGGGTTTCTCTTTGTAGCTTTGGAGCCTATCCTGGCACTCACTCTGGAGACCAGGCTGGCCTGGAACTCACAGAGATCCGCCTGCCTCTGCCTCCCGAGTGCTGGGATTAAAGGCGTGCGCCACCAACGCCCGGCAAATTCATGGTCTGGCACCAAATCCCCCAGTGGTAATTCCTTGGTCATCTGGGATACTCTAAACCGTGGCAAGCAAATAGCTAACAGTTCTTACTATGTACCAGGGAACCAGCTAAACATTTATTTTTGCCATTATCTCATTTAATCCTTAACAATATCCTGGTAAAAAAGGTGCTTAGCTGTGTGCGTTTAACACACTGAGGAACCTGAGATTAAGGAAGGTGCTGAAATTTTCACAGACCAGAAGGCTTTCAATTAGAGGCATGGGCTCCAGCCCAACATATAGTTTTTTTTTTTTTTTTTCTCGAGACAGGGCTTCTCTGTGGCTTTGGAGGCTGTCCTGGAAAACTAGCTCTTGTAGACCAGGCTGTAGACCAGGCTGGTCTCGAACTCACAGAGATCTGCCTGCCTCTGCCTCCTGAGAGCTGGGATTAAAGGTGTGCGCCACCATTGCCCGGCTCGCCCAACGTATAGTTAAGATCAGTTTTGGGAGAACAGAGTTCTATACTTATTCCGTCCCAGAATCCAGAAGTGGTAGCCACATCTGGACTGGCAGCTCCCTCAGCCCTGATCTCTCTGGGAAGCCACACATAGAAGTGACTTCCCTCAACAATCTTACTTAGATCTGAGCAGAAGGATACTTGCCTTTCTTCTCAAGAAGACACAGAAATGACCTTGTCTTTCTCCTGGCTGTGGAGACTTTTTGGGGTCCTTTTTCTGTTACATTTGAACATTGGATCCGTCTCCTCTTTGAGATAAGATTAACTCTGAGGAGGCTCCAGGGGAACCTGTGCATGGTAATGGACACCTCATGATCCACACCTTTATTGGATCATCTCAAGGGTTAGAGGGGTTCATCGGCTACAGTGTGTGGTGAGACCCAGCCAGTGGGAGCTTATAACCACCCACTGGGTGTTCTCTTCCTTTGCCTATGAAGGTAATTTCTTTTACTTATTTCTTTCTGAAGATGTCATCACCGTCAGGACAAGTGTAACCTTTAAGCTAAATGAAGGCAAGTGTAGTTTGCAAAAGGCCAAGCTGTCTCCCGAGGGCCTGCGACCAGCACTACCAGGTATGGAATCAGATGGCTGGTGCAGGGAGCTTGCCTGCATGTTGGGTGAGAGACATGTGACCAGCTGAACTGGAGATGGCTGTCCAGCTGATACAAACTCTTGTCAGATGTCAATGAGCCATTCAGAATCTGCAGGGACTTTCCTCTCTAGGAGAAGTAGAGCCTTCCCTAACCCCCGTGCTGTTCTGGGGTTATACCTCAGGAGGGCCTTTGTGAGGTCATTGGGGAAACACTAGAGTTTATACAAGTCAGTGGGGCTTGAGATGAATCAGCCACTTGTGACTGCATTGAGTTAAAGTTTCTAATCTTAGAACTTGGTTGAAGAATAAGCTATGAAAGCAGGGGTTGACTTGGAAATGATAACATTGGTGAACAAAGATAGAATATCCAGTGTTCTTTCTGCCTTGGTGTTTGGAAACTGTGCCCCTCCCCTCCACCCCAGGGTGGTAGTAGAACAAATGTCATCCAAGGATGACTACACCTGCTGAAACAAGCAAATTGACTGTGCTGCTTTCTTCCCTAGCATTCCTTTCCATCAGATGTTTTACTTTCTGACCAACTGAGTTTAACCAGGGCTGTTTGTTTGCCCTTGGGTTTGTAGTTAACCACTGGAAGCTGTTAGGCACATCAGTAGGTACACAGCTGAAGATAATGGCTGCTCCTCCCCCAGAATCTGTCAGTATACAGTTTGGAAGGGAGGGATAAGGCCCCATGAGCCCCTCTGAGATCCATGATTGAGTATTGGCAGGCCCTTTGCAAATAGTTGCAGCCGCTGTGAGATCATGTTCGCATTTGCTGTGTCATGGCCAGAAGAAAGTATTTCACAACCCTTATCCCTGCCTTCCATTCATTCTGTCCCCTCTTCTGAGATGTTCCCTGGGCTTTAACAGGGGTGACATGAATGTCCTGTTTAGGGCTGAATCAATTTCTTGTACTTTTTAACTAGGAAAGTTTTTTTTTTTTTTTTTTTTTTTTGGTTTTTTGAGACAGGGTTTCTCTGTGTAGCTTTGGAGCCTATCCTGGCACTCGCTCTGGAGACCAGGATGGCCTCAAACTCACAGAGATCCACCTGCCTTTGCCTCCCGAGTGCTGGGATTAAAGGTGTGCCTCACCAACGCCCGGTGGAAAGTTTTTTTTTTTTTTATTTTACTTTATTTGTATGGGTGTTTTGACTTCTTGTATATCTTTGCACCACATATGTGCCTAGTGCCCATGGAGGCCAGACAGGGTGTCTGATCTCTTGGAAGTACAAGTAGTTCTGAGCCACCTTGTAGGTGTCCTAGGTCCTCTAAAAGAATGGCCAATGGTCTTAACCACTGAGTCATCTCTCCAGCCCCCGTATTACTTACTACTTATGTTTAAAGACTTACTGTAATTTTTAATTATGTGTACTTGTGTGTGGATATGTATGTGAGTATGCATGTGTGAGTGTGGTGCCTACAGAGCCCAAAGGAGTCAGCTCTCTCTGCAGTTGGAGTTATAGAAGTTGTGAGCCACCCAGTGTGAGTGAGAATCAAACCCTAGGCCTCTGCAGGAACAATATGAACTCTTGACGACTGAGCCATCTCTCCAGCCCAGGAAAGTATTATTTAAAACAAAAACAAAAACAGATTTGGTCTGGAGTTTATTTAGTAGATTGGACCAGTGTTGAAGTAAGATGTTAATAGTGGGAAGAGCTAAACATGGTGACTCACACCTGTAATACCAACAGTTGGGAGGCTGGGGCAGGAGATTGTTGTGAGTTCAAAGTTAGCTCTGTTACATAGCCTGGACCACAGAGTAAAATTTGTATAAGAACAAAATAAGTAAATAAAAATAGTGTTAGGGCCAGTTAGATGGCTCAGCAGGTAAAGGAGCCTGCTGCCAAGCCTCATAGTCTGAGTTTGATTCCCCAGGACCCACACATACGGTAGAAGGAGAGAACTGACTCCTGCAAGTTGTTCTCTGACTTCCACAAGCCACCACCTATGTCACATGTGAGTTGTTTCATGTGTGTAACCACACATAAATGTAACTACAACATAAATAAATAATGTAAACTTCGTATTGAAACACAGCACACAAACACACACACACACACACACACACACACACACACACACACACAAAATAGAAAGGAAAACAAATTGAAATTTAATCCATTTAAGCGTTGAGGTTAGCTCTTTAAGAATAGGACTGAAGAGATGGCTCTGATTCAGAGCACTTACTGACTGCTCTTCTAGAGGACCCTGGTCCAGTTCCCAGCACCCATGTTGATCATCTCACAACTGTCTGTAACTTGAGCTCCAAGGCATCTAATGCCCTCTTCTGGCCTCCTAGGTACTTGCATATATGTGGTATACACACATTCATAAATAAGAATAAAAATACCTTTTAAAACTATAAAATTTATGTTTGGGGAAAAGTATAGGTAAAAAATGAATTTGTTTCTTCCTCTGGCCTGATGGTCTATAGCACAGATAGCCTTCAGTTCAATACAGTCAGTTTTAAAAGACATGCAATTAGATTTTGTGGATATGTGGTCCTGCTTTATAGTTTTGTTTGGTTCAGTTCTGTCTGTTGAGTCAACAGATTCATCAGAAGCCCTGGGCAGAGGGGACACCATGAAAATCAAGAATAGGGACATTCGAAGTTTATCTCCTTTTTTTTGTTTGTTTTGTTTTTTTGAGGTAGGGTTTCTCTGTGTGGGACTGGCTGTCCTAGAACTCACTCTGTAGACCAGGCTGGCCTCAAACTCTGGAGGTCCAACTGCCTCTGCCTCTTGAGTGCTGGGATTAATGGCATGGGCCACTACCACCAGCTACAAAGCCTGTCTTAGAGCAAGCATTCCACATTCCATTTTACATGGTTTCATGATACTGTTTGGTTCTGTTGAATCTTTGTGCTATTTACTGTTTATGTTTGTTTGAAATAAGACATCACCACTGATGTCCATTCTGAATCTCCCTTTGGGATGGAGTTGCACCAAGGTCCGTTGGACAGGAAACAGTGGTTGGTTTCCTTTCGTTCATTGTTTGAAGTTTCAGCATCAGGCCATCCCAGGCAACTTTGAGAAAAACCACTGTGAGAACACCTACCACCTTAGCTAGCCTTCATCAGAAATACAAAACAACCCCAGGCCCCTGGTTCTTGTTTTCTGCATATGTGGCTGGCCAATGGGAGACACCCAGCCTATACCCAGAAAAGAATGTTCAAGAACTAGACTATAAAGTTACATAGTAATGAAAATGTCCTGGGTCCCGGGACTCCAGGCTGGGGGCTGGCAATGGCTCAGCATGTGGAGTGAATCACATGGTCCCTAGAGGGTTGTAATGAAATGTTTACTGAGCCCTAACGAATGCTCAGCTTAGTGGTCTGCCAGGACTTGGCTTTCGATCATTTTTTGTTTCTTCATACAGAGAGGCACAGCCCGGTAAAAGAGAGCTTCCAGTATGCAAACCTTACATGCAGCTCTGGCAAGCAAGTCCCGGGAGCCCCCAAGGAAATGTTTATCACGGTTGAGTTTGAACGGGAAACTTACAAAAAGGAGGTGACAGGTTGGTCTGAAAGCCATCTGCAGTGCCAGGCTTCTCGGGACCCGTTCTCTTTGCCTTCCATTTTTCCATCATTTCTGGGGGGTGGGGGCAGAAACTAGCGTAAGCCCTCAAGTATCTCCTGTTTGATTTCACTCTTACAAATTATACTAAATTTGTTTAAAACTTGATGGAGATTTTTTTTCCCCCCTCCACTTCACAAAATCTAAACCTACCATTTGGGTCCTACAAATCTGTTTGAATTGAATGCTGCCCAGCCTTCTAGGTTCCCAGGTTCAGGAACTTGGGGTGTTGGTGGGTCTAGCCTGGACATCTTCACTGAAGCCTGTGGGCTTGTCCCCATTCTGCTGTCCATCTGCCTCACCCCCGCCCTATCCCCCATTTCCACAGCTTCCTGCAATCTGAGCTGCATGGTAAAGCGGACCGAGAAGAGGCTACGGAAAGCCATCCGCACGCTCAAGAAGGCTGCCCACAGGGAACAGTTTCACTTGCAGCTCTCAGGCATGGATGTCAATATGGCTAAAAAGTCCCCCAGAGCATCTAAACAGCGGGAGGAGACCTGTGGAGTGGGTCAGGGCCAAGAAGAAAACCAGTGTGGTGAGTAGCCCAAGGTGTGACGACTGAGATCTCCTGGAGTGCTAGACATGTGAACAAGGGAACCAGTGAGAGACCTGGGTCATGCTTCCTTCACTCCAGAGAACATCAGGGATGTGTTTGCTCCTCTGCTGGCTGCTGTGTAGTCACCAGCACTGCCCTCTCCCCCTCGGGAACTGAGGTGTAATTTACCAGTCTTTTCCTCATACCTGGCAAGTTTGCTGGTCTGTGGTAGGCAGTGTTTGTGGAACTGAAGGACAGAAAAGCAAATGCAGCTTGGCAATGCTGCCTAGCTAGTGTGAGCCTTCTATTGTCACAGTCTCTGGAGTTACTATTCTTTGGCTTAGCACCTGGTAGCAATGAATTAAGTAATTTCTGTCCATAGTTTTGTGCAAAGGCAGAGCTAGAGGCCACATAGATATCTTGGAGACACCTGGGCTTCGGGCTGAGGCTCCAAGCAGTGTCAGTTCCATGGTGTGTTGTTGGTCTGTGTATGTGTGTGTTTCAGAGCAAATATCGTTTCTAAATCCAGCAAGAGACTCTGGGGTGGTCAGATGTGAGATTTGTTCTGTTCAGTTACAAGAGAAAATGCCTGAGAATCCTCACAGAGGGAAGTTGGGGGGGTCTCCCTTTATAAATGTGATTGATTTGGTTCTTTATCTGCTAGGAAGGCAACCTTGTCCCAGCTCCTTTGATCTAGCCATAATCTTACCGGCAGGGACCAACATCTCCTACAGGCAGCAACATGAATGCTGAGGTCTATGTTCTCGTACTGAAAATCTCATTGTTGGGAGACACTTTGGGCCAGCAAAGCATTTGCCATGCAAGCACAAGGATTTGAATTTGATCCCTGACACTCAAGTAAAAAGCAGGCTTGGTGGTGCATACTTGTAATCCCAATGCTGGAGAGCAAAGACAAAAAAAAATCGCTGTTGGCCAGCCAGCCTTGTCTAATTGGAGAGTCCCAGGTCCTAATGAGAGACACTGTCTCAAAAGGAAAGTCTGGATGTTATCTGAGGAACAACACTCTAGGTTGTCTTCTGACCCCCACAAATATGCATATGCATATGCAAGCACACATGCACATATACACCCCACTCAAACCCTGTGCATGCCCCCAAGTAATAAGCATAATAGCTTTTTTAAAGACTGAATTTGTAGTCTAATTCCAAAGCTTGTTTTCACGCCTGTCTAAGGTGGAGTTCAGTAACCAGATCCCCCAAGAAGAAGCAGGGGTCTATTCTGAAGGGTCAGGAGACTCTTAGGCCCCAGCAATAGAGCATAGGTAAAGGGGTGGGACGTGGGTGTTTCTGCATGGGCATGGCCAAAGCTAGCTTCGTGCTGGAGAACTTTCAGTGAGGGCCATAGCTCCAATCTGCTGCTTGGCCAGAACTTAGAGAACACTGGAAGTAACTGCCCACAAGGGGCCAGTTCCCAGATCGTCTTGACTCTTATTCCAGCTGATTTTCTTAAAAAGAAAAGAAGGCAGTAAACTCAGCTGGCTGGTTTCTCACTTGGACTCCTCAGAGTTCCAGTCTCCACACCAAATTAGTGACAAGAGCTGGCTGTTGTGGCCCTGCTTTCTAGGGTGAGTGGACCGAATTCTTAGGCAAGCAGCCAGGCAGGTCCTCTTTCTGGAGCTGAACTGCAGCCCCTCCCTTTCCAGGCCTGTTGGGGCAAGGGCTGTGGGTTCATCAAGGAGATTTTGTGGACCGTCAAGAATTCAGGAAGACTAGTGTCAAGGCCTGTGGACCCTCAGGGATCATGTTGGCAGTGCTATGACTGGGTGTGCTTTAGGGGAGCAAAGCCCAAGAAGAGGAACAGGCCTTACTAACTCAGGCCTCTAGGCCACAAGCCTGTGGGGGACACCAATAGAGTAAAGTTGTTATGGTATGCGAATGTGTCCCTGACATGTCTATCAGCTAAATTTGGTTTGGTTTCCCTTTCGTTTCCTTTCCTTTTGTTTCCTTTCCTTTCGTTTCCTTTCCTTTCGTTTCCTTTCCTTTCGTTTCCTTTCCTTTCGTTTCCTTTCCTTTCGTTTCCTTTCCTTTCGTTTCCTTTCCTTTCGTTTCCTTTCCTTTCGTTTCCTTTCCTTTCGTTTCCTTTCCTTTCGTTTCCTTTCCTTTCGTTTCCTTTCCTTTCGTTTCCTTTCCTTTCGTTTCCTTTCCTTTCGTTTCCTTTTGTTTCCTTTCGTTTCCTTTCGTTTCCTTTCCTTTCCTTTCCTTTCCTTTCCTTTCCTTTCCTTTCCTTTCCCTTCCTTCCTTCCTTCCTTCCTTCCTTCCTTCCTTCCTTCCTTCCTTCCTTCTTTCTTTCTTTCTTTCTTTTTTTTTGAAGCATGGATTCTCTGTGTATCCCTGGCTGTCCTGAAACTCACTCTCTAGTCCAGGCTGGCCATGAACTCACAGAGGCCTGCTTCTGCCTCCTAAATACCGGGATTAAAGGTGTGTACCACCACCACCTGGCATGGTTTTTTTTTTTTTTTTTTTTTTTTTTTTTTTGAAGAGATAGTATGTTTTCACAAAAGCTTCTTCTAACACTAAAAATGAATCCTGTACCCAACATGGGACCAAGTCAGGCAACAATGTTGAAGACTTTCCTGTGGGAAGAACACAGCACAGGAATGGTCATGGAGGGAGGATGTGGGTACAAAGAAGGGTCCGGTATACTAAGTAGAAAGGACTTAGAAGGCTGTGAGATGGCTCAGCAGGTAAAGGCATTTGTAGCCAAGACCAATGACCTGAGTTTGATGTCTGGGATCCACATGGTGGAAGGAGAGAACTCCTAAAAGTTGCCCAGACTAATTGATGTTTTTGAACTCTAGTTGGCATGTACAATGGAGACATGCCCAGGAAAGCCCTTGGTTCCTTTTAGAAAATATTGTCATCTTCTGTTTATTATTGTTTTTGTTACTGTAATGAAACATTGGAGGTTGGGTATCTTTTTTTGTTTTGTTCATGTCTTGCTGTGTGGTCCTGGCTCCTTGAATTTATGGATGTAACTGATCCTCCTGCCTCAGCCTCCTGAGTAGCTGACATTGTTCTTCCTATTCTTGTTAAGCTACCAGTATTCAGTCACATGGGCCCCCTTCTCTCCAAAGTCCTCCTCTAGAGATCTTAGCTTAATAATACTTAATGAATATTAAATTTCAACACATGTATCCTTTAAACCATATCCAAGTAGAGCCCCAAGAAGGTGTTTTAAAGACCTTCAAGGAGAGTGGAAACCATTGTGTTTATATACTTGAAATGGTACAGAAATCTATAGCAGTGAGCATTCTTCCCACATCTCCCCAGCCTACTTTCCAACATTGTTAAAATAGACTAGCAAAAGCCACAGTCCTCTTGAAGTTTATAAACAAGGACACAGATTATGTGTCAAATGATGACAAGGATGTGGAGAACAGGTCATCACCTGGGAAATGAACCAGAAAGATGCCAGGCAAGGTGAGGCACAAGGAGGGAGTGAACCCATAATGTAGATGTGGTCAGAGAAGGCCCACTGGAAAGCATACTGGTGCAGACACACAAAGGGAAGAGAAAGAAAACTTGGGGAAGCTTGGGAGAAAAGCATTCCAGGCAAAAGAATAAGACATAAGACAAAACTCTATAGGTATTAGAAGGAAGCACAGGATGGTGAGGCCTGGAGGGCTGGGGGGTTGGGGAGAATGACCTCAGGGCAATAGTAGAGGCCCAGTTCACTGCAGGACAGAAGTCAGCATGACTTCCTACCTATGGTTCTGGGGCTCAACCCAGGGCCTCACACACTCCCAGCCTGTACCTAAGATAGCAGTATCTGTCAGCCCTGGTTCATGAGACATTGACATGATTCTTATTTTCCTTTTACAAACAGAGCTACCGTGGATAGCCTTCTTTGTGCAAACACCAATATTCTTGAAGCCTAGATTTGTGGAAGTGTAGCTGCCAAATCAAGACCGTGCATATATAAACATTGGTAGATACTGCCAACTCACCCTTCCAAATCCCCCTCAGTGCACACTGCCTCCGGCACTGAATAAGCATGTTTAATGCCCACATCCTCACTTATGTGAGCTGTTTATCATTGGCCCTTTTAATCTTTGCAAACCCAATAAGCAAAAATAATAATAAAATCATTAACTCCTTTGATCAGTAAGAACACACAAATACTTGGTCTTAAATTAATTGTATTTCTTCTTCTAAGAACATTTATAGGTTTTGTCTAGTTACATTAAATTGTCTTCCCAGTATCACTTTAAAAAAATTAGTCAGGCATGGTGGTGCACAACTTTAATCCCAGTACTCAGGAGGCAGAGGCAAGCTGTTTTCTGTGAGTCGAGGGCAGCCTGGTCTACATAGCTAGTTCCAGATAGAACTAATTCCCACAAGTTTTCCTCAGTCTTCCACACCGTACATGCACACACACTTACATAAAGTAATTTTTAAAAATTTTTAATAACATTTAAAGTCACGAGTTACACCAAAGAAAAAAATTCACCTCTGATCAAACAGAAACTCTTTCTTATTGTCATTTGTACATAGTAATGAATTTTTGGATTTATGAATTTGGCATTTGGGGACAGCCTGTTCTTCAAGTAACCTTTATACCATCTGTGATCAATTTTAACAAGATGTCAGAAAAGAAAAGCCATTCTGGGGCTGGAGACATGTTTTAGTAAAGTGCTTGCTGTGCAAGAATGAGGATCTGTGTTTTCATCCCCTGCACCCATGTAAAAAGCCAGGTGGGTGGTGTGTGCCTGAAACCCCTGTGCTGGGTCACCAGAGGTCACAGCCAGCCAGTATAGCCTAAACACTCAGCTCCCAGTCTCAGTGGGAAATCCTTTGTCAAAAACTAAGGTGAGGAGCAATTGGCAGCACCCAATATGTGTTTCTGACCTCTCCGTGCAATAACATACATGTACACAGATATACATACAGAAATAAATACGAATAAATGAACAGGAAAGCAATTCTATTTTACAAACTACAGATTCCTGGGCTGAGGCTGTAGCTCAGCATGTGTGAGAC